ACACTACGTATGAAAAGAAAAAAATTTCCACTCAATTATTAGCTTGTTTATCTTATTTTATACGGAGTACCTAAAAACATCACATATAAGAGAGAAAATCATTGTACTCAATTATTAGTTCACATATATTTATTTATACATAAAAGCTTTACATATGACTCATATGAGAGAAAAAACTTTCTCGCTCACTTATTAGTCCGCCTATCATATATACTTAAAATCACTACATATGAGAGAGAAATAATACTCCCTCCGTATTTTTTTGTAAAAATAGGTGTTGGCACATTTTTTAAGAGTGAAATAGTAGGGGTAATGAATAGTGTAAAAACGTAGGAGAGGTGGTGAAAAAATATGAAAGATAAGATAAAAAGTAGAAAAAGTAAGGGTAATTGAGTATTTTTAAAGGAAAAACGTACCAAAAAGGGAAAGTGTAGCAAATTTTTGAATACATCCAAAAAAGGAAAGTGTAGCAAACAAAAAATACGGAGGGAATATTAGATTTTTATTAATTGTAGGTATTATGATGATGATGACTACCCCCGTTCCTTTTTATTTAATCATCTTTGACTTTCTCAGTCAAAAATAATAAACTTTGATACATTATTTTAACTAATATATTTATCTGAGACTTAAAAAATATATACTTTTATGATAATATTTTTAATTGACGAAGAACATTATCATTTTCATATTATCAATACTACCGCGTATAAATATATAATCAGTCAAAGTTTAAGTGTTTAACATCATTGACTTGAAAAGTCAAATTTGGCTAAATAAAAAGTGACGGAGGGAGTATTTTATTAATGAAGTAAAGAAAAAAGATATGAAATATAGCTAAAATGGTCTTTTACAACAATTTCAGCCATTTAAGCCAAAAAAGTTACGTATATGTGAACATTTCGTGAAGCACCAATTTATAATGATGGTAAAAAATAAATAGTAGTGACTATATAGAATGAATATATGGAGTGATTATTCAAACGATCACAATAAAATTGTTGAAATTTGCGAATTAAAATTACGATAGAAAGGATATAATCTGGGAAAAGGGTCAAATAAGGCCTCGAACTTACATAAAAAGGTCAAATAAGGCCTTATATATATTTGGGAAGGTTCCCGGTGAAATTGTTTGATGAAATTTTTTGAGTATCTTATTCATTAAGTCTAGCTTACTCATACCAAATTTCAGCTAAAACTTCAATTGGGAAGGCATTGAAATAAATTGTTGAAGATAACTCCGCTTAGCATCCTTTTCTAGCCACTTTGATATAATTTTAAACACAATTATAGTAACTAAAAATTAATAAGTCATATTTGTATCCATTAACCTTATTTTAGTTATATATTAGAAATTATTTATTCATTTAATATGGAATAATTGATATCGTGATTGGAAAATAGGAAGCTTTAATAAACCTTCATAATTGTTTTAAATTATATATATTAAATATTGATGTCATATGAAAGACCGTAAAAATTATGATTTTTGATATATCTTAATAATAATTAGAGTGGAAATGAAAAAGTTACACCACTTTTAAAAAAGTGCTTTTTATACAATGGGCACCGAGAATTTAATCTCTCCTCAACCGACCTTCCGATGCTATTGCTATTACGTAAGTAGTACCGTAGTTATCCTTTTCCAAATACAAAAATATAGAATTTGACACATGGCATTGTTATAGTGGGGAGATAGACACATAGAATTAATTTTATATATTAATATGACCAAAATAAGGACAATGCATAAAAATGTTCCATATTGATTTGGGATATATAGTCTTGTTTATCTTATATCAAAGTGACTATAAAAGTGTACTCATACCAAATTTAGTGACATTTTTGTCCATAAATATTTATTTGAGACATTTTTTCATATTGTCACATTAATGTAAATATAAATATAACTATAGTCACTAAAAATTAAGAAAATCATGTTTTTATATATTATCCTTATTTTTGTTCATATGTTATTATTTTCTTATTTTATATGGAATGGTATTGATGTTGGAAAATATGAAGGTTGTTTAATAAATTTTCAGAGTCTTTTAAATTTATATATGCTATATTGGTGTCATATGAAAGGTCGTAAAAAATTATGAATTTTGATATTATTTTCATAAAAATTAGATAAACGGTTAAAAAGGTATAACACTTTAACGAAAATGGTGTTTTTTATACATTGGAGCCCACATATTTGATGCCACGTTTTTTTCTCTCCAAGCCTACATTTCCTTGGTGCATTGTTCGGTTCTTTTTTCTCTTATTTAAATAGAATTAGCCACATGTCATCTTTATAGTAAATGAGCAAAATGTGGAGAGATGGACACGTAGGATTAATGAAGGGTGTAATTGTCTTTTACAGAGCTATCTCTTTTCTTATATATAAGTCGTATTTGTATCCATTAACCTTATTTTAGTTATATATTAGAAATTATTTATTCATTTAATATGGAATAATTGATATCGTGATTGGAAAATAGGAAGCTTTAATAAACCTTCATAATTGTTTTAAATTATATATATTAAATATTGATGTCATATGAAAGACCGTAAAAATTATGATTTTTGATATATCTTAATAATAATTAGAGTGGAAATGAAAAAGTTACACCACTTTTAAAAAAGTGCTTTTTATACAATGGGCACCGAGAATTTAATCTCTCCTCAACCGACCTTCCGATGCTATTGCTATTACGTAAGTAGTACCGTAGTTATCCTTTTCCAAATACAAAAATATAGAATTTGACACATGGCATTGTTATAGTGGGGAGATAGACACATAGAATTAATTTTATATATTAATATGACCAAAATAAGGACAATGCATAAAAATGTTCCATATTGATTTGGGATATATAGTCTTGTTTATCTTATATCAAAGTGACTATAAAAGTGTACTCATACCAAATTTAGTGACATTTTTGTCCATAAATATTTATTTGAGACATTTTTTCATATTGTCACATTAATGTAAATATAAATATAACTATAGTCACTAAAAATTAAGAAAATCATGTTTTTATATATTATCCTTATTTTTGTTCATATGTTATTATTTTCTTATTTTATATGGAATGGTATTGATGTTGGAAAATATGAAGGTTGTTTAATAAATTTTCAGAGTCTTTTAAATTTATATATGCTATATTGGTGTCATATGAAAGGTCGTAAAAAATTATGAATTTTGATATTATTTTCATAAAAATTAGATAAACGGTTAAAAAGTTATAACACTTTAACGAAAATGGTGTTTTTTATACATTGGAGCCCACATATTTGATGCCACGTTTTTTTCTCTCCAAGCCTACATTTCCTTGGTGCATTGTTCGGTTCTTTTTTCTCTTATTTAAATAGAATTAGCCACATGTCATCTTTATAGTAAATGAGCAAAATGTGGAGAGATGGACACGTAGGATTAATGAAGGGTGTAATTGTCTTTTACAGAGCTATCTCTTTTCTTATATATAAATAGAATACATGAAATAATTAATTGGATGGTATTGGTACTAGTAAAGTATGCAACAATTTTTTTGTTTGACTTGTCATTGTATATAGAAATTATAGTTTTTTGTTAATTGATTTATTTGTGATTTTTGTATTATCTATAAATACGTAGTTATTATTTATTCCCTCTGTCCCTTAAAACTTTGCCAGTTTTCCTTTTATAGATGTCTCACTAACTTTGCCACTTTCCCTTTTAAGTAAATAATTTGTGGTTCTAGTTAATTCTCTCTTCTTTGCACAAACCTTAACCACACAGTTTTTACTTTATTAATCCTCGTGCCGGTCAAACGTGGCAAAGTTTTAAGGAACAGAGGTAGTATTATTTATAAAGTGACATTATCATTGATTTTGCACTTCAAAAGGTAAGAAGAATAGGCCTACAGGGTGTTACAAGTACATGTTTGCAGTGTATTTTACATATCTTTGCATTTAGAAACTTATCCTTTTGAATATTAGAAACTTTGAATATGTTTTTTTCACATGATATTTTTTGTTATTCAATTTACCTCATTTTTAATATGATTAGTGCATAGTAGGTATTTTTCTGTCCAGGGCCTCCAAAACGCTCAAGTGACTTGGTGTGTTACAATTGATTTTGTGTAATTTTGTGCTTTGAATTGTGAAATTGAAAATTAGGAATGTCAAATGTGATTTGTGAAAATTTTAAAATATTAATATGAATTAAAATAAAATATTGATTAGTTTTTTATTTATTTTTTGGTAATTTTAGTAGGTATGACTACTAAAATTCTCACTTTCTAGTTCATTCTCTTGCGAAGTTGAGTGAAGAATTGGTCAAATCTGGAAAGGCAGAACACTTCAAAATGATTACAAGATTAATTCATCTTGTATTGACTTTACCTGTTTCGACTGCAACAACAGAAAAATCATTTTCCACAATGAAACTCGTGAAGAATGAAATTCGTAACAAGATGAAAGATGAATTTCTTGCCGATCGTTTGACCATCTTTATTGAAAAGAAAGTTGCCAACAAAATTGACGTCGAGTCTGTTATAGATGAGTGCTAAGGCCAAAGAGCGTCATGTTCGGTTAACGTTTTAGTTTCAGACATTGTATGTATTGTTTAATAATATTACTATGAATTTTAATGGATTTTAATTCTTATGTGAACACTATTGTCAGTTTTAAAATTTTTATATAACGTTTTTAGTGTAAAGTCGGCCCAGGGTAGACTTCCATCCTGTTTGTATGGGTTGGTTTGCAACTCATTTTAAAAAAGCACTTCTCATCTTTTGGCTTTAAAAAAGCACTTATTTTCCCAAACACTACAACTTTTATTTTTCTCGGCTTCCGCGTCAAAAGTGCTTTTACTTTTTCTATTACACAAAAACACTTATTATATCAAACACTACCCACTTTTACTTTTCAAAATCACTTTTTTCTCAAACACTATCAACTTTTATTTAATCACTTCTCCTCGTTTCATTAAAAAAAAGCACCCAAACAACCTATGTCATTTCCAATTTCAGTTCCAGAGCAATGGAGGAAACTATATGCCGAAGGGCGTCGGTGACAGTTGATTTATCCGGCAATCTTTGCTCTGCGGTGGATTTGACCGGCAGGGTGCATCAGCTGCCTTGCTGTATCAAGTACAATGGTTCTTCTGAAGTTTCTAACTACTTCAGACCCAAACCTACTGGTATGAATGAATCGCCCAAAGTTGTTTGCACTCATTTCATAATGTAAAGATATGCGAAGTTTGTGATGATCAATCCACACATTGTCTGTTTCAAATTTTGATTTGGACGTGAAGAGGTAGTGTTTGATGGGCTAAGCGAGAGGAAGCTCATTTCCGAGGAAGGAAGCTCCAGGGCACCACGCTTCCGATTCCGCAAGGCTATTCTGGTAGTACTGTTATCTAGTAGCTTTTCTGCCTAAATAATATGCAGAATAGATGACGATTACACAGTCCAACCTCAACCTATGTAAAAATACCTTTAGGTTATTGAAGTAAGTACTTCATGAGTAGCTAAGGTTCAATAAGTGGATTAGAAATAGTCCACAATCATATATAATGGACATGGTGTTCTTTTCTTTTAATTAGATGCACATGCTGTTGTGATCATTGATCATTCACTGCCTTTAAAATAGATAACATTCACTGTCAAGGGTATGTTATTTATGCTCACATATTAGACTAGTTGGGGTTTGTATTAGTCAAACAGAACATGCATCCTTCTGATTTCTTCATTTTGGCCTTTTTGCTCTTTGTATTATTCCTTCAGGATTTGTCTTGGGAAAGAAAAAACCTGATGGAAAAGGAAGTATGTCTGAGGAAAGCTCAAACTGTTGGGAGGTGAAGGCAAACTTCCAAAACCTAACATATTGGAATCATGATACCCTTCCCTCACAAAATGATGCTTTACCGCGTACATTTCACATGTTTGATATTGCAAAATCAGTAAGTTCTCATCTATTATCAGTAAGTTCTTTCTTATTTTCATATATCTTGCTTTCTCTTGGTTTGAACATGGTCAATCTATTACTAGGACTGTTTGGGTGCAGAGGTTCTCCTTAGTCCTCAATTAAAATATATCTTTGCTTATATAAAAGGACAACTAATGTTACCATGGTTCTTTTTCCATCCAACTTTTCATTTTTCCGTCCACTCCTCCAACGGCATTGTTTACGGGTTAACACAACGGTTACTGGCTGTTTGCATCCATTCCTTCTGAGTGCATTTATTCAACCCCAAATAACTTCCCATACCGGTTTGACAGTACACTTTGTATACAGTCATATATCAGAAGTGAGAAGTCCGAGACATGTCAACTTCCTCTGTATCTCTTCCTCCTTTGACCATTCATCTGTATTCAATTCCATATCTTTTGAATTACTCCTTGCAACGGAAACTTCCATGTGTTCATGTTGTTAATTAACAATGAATTGCTTCCGATTTAAAATACCATTGTAATTGATTTTGTTGCCTTAAAATGTATTTACTATAACTACATCTCCTTCTCCTCATCTTCAACCTGCGATTATAGATATGATCAAATATCTTCTACTTCACACAAATACTGTGTTCATAAGCTGTTCAATAAAATGCCTTAGTAAATTGCTGTTTGTAAACTTGAAATAATCTCTTCAATAAAACTACCATAATATTTCTTTTAATTCGCTACTCCCTTAATTTTGGCTTAAGTTTCACCACATATTAAAATTAGCATACTCTTACTCAACTCTTGAATTTGGCAAGAAATGATTTCAATAGGTCACATGAACTAGCAATAACTTTCTAGTGAATGGACTTTGGGACTTCATACTTTTTCAGTTTTTGAAAATTCACTCAAGTCGTTCCTTGAAAAGAAGTCTCTTATATTAGACAATATATCATTCTGACATGTTTACATGAATCGCAATAGCATTCTCCACTAAAAAAGAGAGTCAAGGTCCTATTATTGATTAGCAACCATCTTGAAACAATGTTTTACTACAAAAAACAATGCAAATACAATAGTTCGGTGTTCAAAAGATTGCATGTGTTTATCAAATCAAATGTCAGAGTGCACATAGTTACCAGTGGGAAAAACACATTGAATTGGAAAGGAAAAAAGTGAAAAAACTGCAGTAAGAGTCATATTAAAAAAGTGAAAAGATCTGGATTATTTTGCTTTTGTTTTAATGCTGTCATTGCAATTAGTTTGATGTAGTTGTTTGGTTCACTTTTTAAAGTTGTCTTCATACTTACAACAAGGAGACTAGGTTGATCATGATTAGCTCAAGTCTTCGCATTAAGTGGTAAGCAAATCATTTTGCTCCTCAGGGGGTTTTCAGCTCTTTATCTAATCCTAGGGTTGTTTCTTGAGTCGTGGAGTTTTATTTGGTTGTAACTTTCTATTATCTTATCATTTTAATATAAACCTATTTACATTAAAAAAAAGTCGCATTAATTTTTCTTAGCTTAACATTTTCAAAAAAGAATCTCAAATCATTGAAATGGGTTAATAATAGCATTCTTTATATACTGAAACTGTTATTTTTCTGGGAAGAAGTTAAGCAAACAGTAATAGGGTGTGTGATATTTTAGGTTGCTGCCATTCATCTGATTTCAATACCAAGTCTACTATGAATCTTTTCATCTAGGTTTCTCATTTTTTTCATTTACAAAAGCTTTTTACCCACCTGTAACATTCTGCACTTTGAAATTTGATTCCCTTAAAAATTCCAGTCTTTTGAACACTTAACTCTAGGCTTTGAATTGGTATTTGTGGTATAACACAACTACTTTAAGATTGTTTCTACTAAATAATAAGACTTTAGTATTTATGATTTCTGTAGTTTTCTGAATTTTGACCTCATATAAAAAACAAAGGCACTTGCCAATTGCCATAAATACTTCATATGTGTTTACTGTTTAGTGTAAAAAGTTTAAAATTTTTTTTTAGAGAACTCTACAAATATGATTGTATTCAATCAATACAAACAAAGCCAATGGGTAAAAAGACACTTAGTCACCATTCCTATAGCCGTTGCTTTTGGCTTCCAAACAAAATAAATTTTTACGCCTCTAAATTCGAAATGCAACATTTTTCAGGCCTGTCCTTTTGTAGTCAAAGGTGAGTTACAAGACTAACTAAGTATCTGAAGACAAGATTTCATTACAAGACAGTTTTTTTTTTCAAAAAAAAAATACATTTTCAGTTTTTGAAAGAAAATTCAACGTAGTTCTATTCCAAAGAACCACTTTCATAAAAAAGGGCAGTCCAGTGCATGAAGACATCTCCATAAGGCAAGGGTTTGAGGAAAGATCCCACCACAAGTGTGTATAACAGCCAAGCCTTCCTTGTCGAATTTATTGACAAGAGGCCGTTACGCAACAACACTTAACCGGTGCACCAAGGTTCTCTTTAAACAATCTCTTTCATAATCTTAATATATCATCTGACCCTTGTTTAGAACCAAATTGTTTTTTCTAATAAATTTATATAATTATATAAAAACAAAGAATGTTTTCTTGCTTCTTTGTTTAATTAAGTGACATGTTTGTTTTGTACTTATGTTATGAACTTATAATATGTACTATATACAAATTGAGAATAGAAATTTATACTTTCTGTTATATTTTTTTCTTAAAAAAGCTAAACTGATATTACCACTAAAATTAACCCAAGAATCTAATGGTAAGTATTTGAACATTTTGAGATGTAGCTTTTATAAGAAAATGCTATGCCAATGTTAATCAGACATTTCTTTGTTTAGGTTTTGTTGCTGATAAAGGTAGACTATAATCGAAATTGATTTTATATGGCCTGTTTTATTTTGATCTATTCTTTATACTCTGTATAAAACACATTTGTTACATTATACGACTCATATAATGAGTGTACAGAGTATACTTTTAACTCAACTACAACACTTAAAATATACTTTCTTCATGCTTTGAGTTTTTTGTGTAGAAATTTTTGAGATCAAGATCATTCCTTCGCTTCCTTTGTCTAGGAGGGTGCTTTCTCAACTTTATGAAGAAAATGAAATGGCATATTTTTCAATAAATCTACCTAGGGAGATTTAGCATACATATAATATTTCTGTAAATGTAATCTTGCATCAAGGATCCTAGCTAAGTTATTTTCTCATCAACCACAGAATCTTGTTTTAAATTAAAAGCCAATTGGCACTATCAAATCTAATTGTTTTATTTCATTCCATTATCCAATTCCACCTGCAAATATGACTGACCATACACTGTGGAGATGTAAATCATGATATTTATTGGAACTGCTGAATGTGCAAGAAAGAGAAGAAAGGGTGTGTGAAAAGCAACATTCTTGGTGTTGACATAAATTTATAGTATGAGCCCTTCCATCCTATTTTGTTCTGTATACATGAATACTTTCACCGGGGTACATACAACCTGAACTATCTTCATAAAAATAGGCACAATTGGATGGGTACATTTTTCACTTACAATTGGAGAGAAATATGTAAGGTCAAATTTGCATAGTGGTGTGCACATTTTACACATGTTTTTCTCTTATTTTTTCAATAAGAAATAAATTAATTTTTTAAAGGTGTCCCCTCGCTCTCCCTATAATAAGATTGTTTAGTGTATTGTAGAGTCCTTGACCAATAACACATCCTTTGAAATTTATTATTCATATTTTAAAGGCTCGAAGTGCTCGTTCATAGCTGATTTGCTAAAGATAAAAAAAGCTTTCAAACACCAAAGTCCAAAACATGTTTTCATTTTATGATGTTTGTTATATTTATTTTTTAAAACATATTATGCAAAATAATTATGATACCAAAACATTTTTATGGAAATTTTGTAGAGAATGTGCAAATCAAATTGCTTTTCAATCACATGTTGGACATCCATCGCACGTAGTGCGTACTTTGCTAGTTCCATACATATGTTGGAACTCCTCTCTTAAAATAACAGTGACTGTGATACACCCTACTAAAACCATAAGGCAGTGTTAGTCAGTCCGCTAACCCACACATCTTCTTGACCACCCAAAATAGTTTATGCGTGTGTATTTCAAACATAAGACCTCCATCTCACACTCATGTTCTCAATGGACTATATCCCCCAACATCCCCTAATTTGGCTAATTAGTGTGCCTGTCACTTTGACTTTTAGAGTCAAAGTTCCTTAACTTATATTACTTGTTATTCAAGAATTATTTATTTTATAACATGAAAATTCTTTTCAATAATTTGTTTTATGGGAAAGGTTACATAACACTATCTGGCAAAATCCGTAAATACAAAAAAATATCATCAATATTTTCTATACAAATAGTGACAACATTAGTAGTGTGGTAGTAGCTGTAGGTGTACTGGTAGTAGCATCTTCCCATTTACCACCTCGTACGATGGCTGCTGTTACACTCTGTGTGCCCTCAGTAGCCGTCTTTGTTTATAAACTTAGTTTTTAGATGTCCAATTTCAAATTGAATTCAACTGTTTGTAAAACAAAATTTGATCAGGTGGTTGTCGTTTATTGTTTTAATACACACAAAGTATTATTGAAATAATAAATAATTATAGATTTTTAAAGCCAGAATGAGAATGCAATCGAGAGATGAAGGTAATAGCTTTAATGTCTTCGAGCGTGAACTTACACGATCGATTGTAGATTCTTATTGCACTCAGTCAGACCTTCGTCTGTTTATATTTCAGTGCATACGTAGTACATATTAAGGCATGCTTTGGGATTTTTCTTACATCAACCAGGTCACGTGGTTCAATTAGTGACCCCTGAGGCCCTGATTCCAATATTGACCCACTGATCCATGCCAACAACTGATCCCGAGTTCAGAGCAATGCTGAGATGTTTCGCTGAAATGACAGAATATGTTCAATTTTTGGCTGAATTGTCTAAAAATACATTTCAAATGTTATTTTTTTAAACAATTATCAGCCTAAAGCCCTAAACAAGTCATTATTGCAGTTCTTTTTATTATGTAATATTATAAGCTGATAATGTAATATTATCACATAAGGTAGTTTGGTAGAAAATCTGGTTTATATGTTGAATAAAGCAAATACTAAATGGGCTCATTTGGCGTTTAGATTTGTTTTTTGGTATACATTTTGTTTGTAGTTTGTACATATATTTTTTTAGGAAGTTTGTACATATATATGAAAAGTCTTTTAGGACTAAGGCTGGGATGTTGTTGATAGTCGAAAAGTATTTACTTTTGCAGCTTCATCGACCATTGAGCACTGAGGAACTGGACTCTATCAATTGACAAGATGATTGATGAAGTGCTTTTCCTATGTTTTGTATGCATCTCCCATTTTAATTCAAGCAAAAAGTTTTTGCTAATTTTGTTATTTTGGGTACCGCAACTTTGAATCCTTGGGAGTTGGGAATGAGATCTCATTTAGGGGATTATTGTATGTTTTTTTTATCATGGGATTATTGTATGTTATTAACTGTAGAAAATACACATGAGTGTTACTTATTTCTCTAGTTTGAGAATTGAAACTTCGCTTCACTGGGGTTGTGGGAGTTTTTGAACATGGAAAGCATTGTGATGGGCTGATGGCTGTATTTTAACTATCAAAACCCCTTCCCAAAGGAGTATCTAGTTCACCCAGATTGGGAATTTCTTGAAGAAAAAGCATTAAATGACGAATTAGCCAAAAATCCATCAATTTATGGTGGCTTCTGTCTTCCTTGATTTTTTTTGGGAAGATCAATAAAAATATTAAAAACAAAAAACTAATGCAAGTGCACAGATAATTAAAATACTTGGCAGTAAATAAATAAATAAAATAATAGTCAAAAGCATAAGTTGCCATTTGTCTAATATTAAACTGGTTTGATTTATATACCAACATACCCGTGCAAACGCACGATAAGAGTTGTGGTTAAATTTATCTCATCATGAATTGAAAATAAAAATGAAAAGTAAAATTCAAAGAAAAAGAAAGGAAAAATACACAAAATGGATAAACATACAATGCAATTTCATGTCATGTACTAGCTTTTCACCCGTGCTTCGCACGGGATGCATTTTTAGTAATCAATTAATTATTTGGAAATATATTAAGATGTTGTGATAAATATAGTTCAATGTATATATTGTCTCTAACAAAGGTAAATGACGATAAAAAAGTTACTAATTATTACGTATTATATACTTTCTTGTAAACAACATTTACAGTCTTTTTGGCCGGGTTTCAACCATCATCACATATAACAAACTTCAACCCAGACGGGTACATTACTATTGAAACCGTGACGTAAAGTTGTTCATGGGTGAAAACCGGACGACGTAAGAAAATCACCAACCCTCTCCAAAAAGTGTCTCTGACTCTTATTAATGGTCATCGCGTAACTAAACATCAAATGGAACTGTCTACGCTGAAATGTGAATGACATATGACATTATCTAAGCTTCAGAATAAGAAATTTTTGTCCAGTAAATGTTCCAGACATCATTTGAGCCTCAAGAATATGAGTTCCGAGTTTAGTGACGATAAAGCGAGTGTCATTACACAATTCGGGGGAATGATTGGTATTCCTCATTAGCAGCACAGGTGCACCCACTTTCAGCTTCAGCTCATGGCTTGGCGCACCAGAGGATTTAATGGTATTGAGACATTCTGGAGAGTGGGTCTCTTGAAGGAGTACACTGTCTCAGTCAGAAGAAGATGTCGAATAGCTGAAGTATGTCTTTACCTCAGCTGGAGTCGGTCTCAACATGCAATTTTGGTTAATTTGCTTGTCCAAGCTAGACTGGAAGATGCACTCCAATGGTAGGCTAATAGCTTTAAAATTGCAAGCAAATCCCTAGACGTAACCGTTGGAGATGCTCTTAGCCTCTTATGAACATCTCATTTGTGAATTCAACAAAGTTGGTTTCTCTATAACAAATTCAAAAATGCTAAAGGTATCCCAATTTGTACCCCCCACCCTATTTTTGTGGCTCACAAAAGCAGTTCATTAAAGTGGAGCAATTCATTTATTGAAGTGGGCTTTTGTGAGCCACAAATATAGTCTGGAGTACAAATTGGGATACAAATTGGGGTACCTATAGCAGGGTTGTAACAAATTATACTCCATCCAACCTGTTGAAAGATCCTCACTTTTCTTATTGGGGCGACCCATTTAATGGGTCTGATTCCATTTTAGAAAATAATTTACTCTCTTTAATTACACATTTAGTCAAATTTATTTCTACTTCTCATTACATGTGAAGTCTCACAATTTCTCTTCACCAACTTATCCACATTTAATTACTTTCACTTTATATGATTACTTTTTCTATATTTTCTCTTTCTTCTCTTTTTTACCCAAATTACTTTATTTAATCACTTGTCTAAAAAATTGTGTTATTTACCCATGAGAACCTTCCACCTAAACGGATGGAGTAATAAAATATTGTACTTTCCCATGATTTCTCTATCTTGACCCCTACAGTTTATTTGTGATTAATGCTCAGTTGAAAATGCAAATAATTGTGCTACTATGAGCCCGTTTGGTAATACCAAAATTGACTTAATGGAATGATTACGCTGAAACTTATGAAGGTCTGGCTAAAGTGATTGCATTGGCTGATTCTGCTGATTTATATAAAAATAATATTTAAAATATATTTTATTAATTAAATAGCTAAAATGATGTTGTACAGTAACTTTAGCCAATACAACCAGAAAAGTAACTTCAACTTTACTTTTTCTTATTATTACACAATTCAGCACGCGAAATAAAAATTACGTGTTCGGTGAAAAAATGGTTCATAAGCCTGATAAGCCGAAAAACGTGATTACCAGACGGGTTCTATATATGTCATCCTGTCAAGGACCACTTAGTTGGGTGTTGATTTTGGAGTACCAACTTCTTCACAGTAAGGAGAGGCAAATGTCTGCAGTAATAGCATGCTTAATAATTTCAAATGACCAAAAACCTAACAATATTTGAAACTATTTATCATTCCAAATTATCAACAAAATTTGACCGAAATTGTAAACCTAACAATATACGAAGTACTTAGGGAGTGTTTGCAACAACTTAAAAAGGCACTTCTCAGCTTTTGGCTTAGAAAAGCACTTATTTACCAAACACTACCAATTTTTATTTTTTCTCGGCTTGCGTGTGAAAAAATTATAAGAAAAAATAGCTAAAATGACACTCTACAGTCACTTCAGCCAATACAGCCATAAAAGTAACTTCAACCTTACTTTTCTTATTATTATACAATTCAATCCGTAAAATCAAAAGTTACGTGTTTGATGAAAAAGTTGGTTTATGAGCTCGAAAAGCCAAAAATAATGGTTGCCAAACGGGCACATAATAATTGCAAACAACAAATGTTTATCATATGATGATGATTGATGATAAAAGTGTCCAGAGATGTTGAACCTACAATAAAAATGTTCAATTGTTGAATCTCGTTCAATTTTTATTCCAACAAACAAACGCTAGAAGTAAACTATATATGTATAAACATATAAATAGTGCTGATACAGTTAGTCAATATGAAAAATAGACAACTTCAAATCATTGTATAAATTAGTACTCTTTTAAAAGTTTATTTGACCAAAGGGAGGTAAGTTTGATAATTTAGAAAAAAAAAATATTGCTTTTTTTTTTGTAGGGAAACAAACGATTGAATCTCAACCATACATTTGAAAGAGGATATCCTCCTAGCCTCTTGGTGAAGTTACAGTTTTGGCCTTCCGCTCCCCCTACTACTACTGAATACTACTGATACGTGATTCAGCTTACTACTAAACTAACCCAAAAAAACAGATCTTCTTTCATCTTCTTCTTCAATCTACTAAGCAAAAACAGAGCCACAAGACAGAGTCATTAACATATAGACAACTTTTTCTACTTTCACAAGTTGCTTCCTCCTATGTTTGCTGACTTCTTAGTTTCTGATACCCCACTTCATTTCCTCTTCCACGAAACCCCCAACAACCTCTTCCTCAATGGAGTGGAACTATATGGTGAAATCTCAATACTACCCCCTCCTGTGTTGCGCTCCCACTGTCACTTGAGCTCCTCCTCCCACTGTTCTTGCTTCCGCTCGCTGGTTTCTTTGACTTCTTGTCATCTTTATTCAGTCCCAATAATGCCCTCCTCGTCTTCCTGCTCCTTATCCTACATGCATTGCATAAAGACTCTGGACCAACATGACCACCTCTCTACAGAGGAGTCTTTGTAGTGCCACAATCAGCACAAGTTTTGGTCTCTGACGAAAATATCCTCCATGCGATTGGAGTTTTGCAGATCATTATTTATTCAGATTCTGATCCCATATCACTTAGATCCACTATAGCTAGAACCAACAAAGAGAGCAACTTTCTTCACTTCTCACTCTAATAAACTGAATCAAGAACTGCGTAAGTCTTAAAAACACTTGAAATCACAATGATCATGCATAAACTGCACAGATATATAGAAGGTGAAAGACACTCAAGAAAGCAGCTGAAGAGGCCAATCATAGGAAAAGCTTTGAGACCAAAAGGAAAAGCAACCTTTCTATTCTTCATTGCCATAACTTTTCATCCTGAAATCAAGAAGAGAAAAAAAGAAGACAATGTAATATCATGAACACAAATTTGAAGAGACATGTGAACTACAGAGCATGAGAGCTACTGAGATTTTCATTCTGGTTCTAGTCATATTCAGAAAATGTAGTTAACACTGATGTCAAGAACACCATATCCATTATGCATTTTAAGATTGCCAGAAAAATGATTAATAACATTTCATTTATCTGTTTCAGGACCTGAGAAAGAAAGAAACGATGTTTAACACTTCCTTCAACATATATGGAAATAAAACAGATAAATGAAAATCACTTACTTGAGTCTTATCAAAAGATATCACTGAATAAGAGAAAAGTCAAAAAAGTATATTGAACATTACATATTTAGAAAAAAAAGTACCATGCAACTCCTCATCCACAAGATTAACAATAAGAAGCATCAATCATAAATGAAAATGGAACTTACTAAAACTCTACTTAAACTTAAAGGTTCCAGAATCTAGAATAAATAAATAAATAAATGTCCATGTTACCTTCAACCAAGTGTGTTTGTGATTTTGAAGGATAAGCTTAAGGAAACTAAATACTCCCTCCGTCCCGCTAAGATTGTCCCTATTCACTTGGTCAACAAAGCCACTCTTAATCTCTTACATTATATATTATTTTTTATCAAATTTGATTCTGGTTTTTGCGACTTTGTAAGGTTTTTAAGGTAGTTTCTGAATATGTAAAAAAAAATCCCTAAAAAAAATTTGGGTGCGGACAAAGATCTGTTTACTTAATCCATGTGATCGGGCTCGCAATTAGGGTACTGAAACTTAAAACATAACATCTCATTGATATACACTTTCCCATTTGAGCAATTATATGTCATTCTTCAGTCATAAAAGAAACCAAATGTTAATACCCTTGCCACCAATTACTTCTCCTAAAAATTATATTTCCTCTAGCTAACACCTTCTT